GGTTCTCTGACCTCACCTGGTTCTCTTATATCACCTGGTTCTCTGACATCACCTGGTTCTCCGACCTCACCTGGTTCTCTTACCTCGCCTGGTTATCTTATCTCACCTGGTTCTCTGACCTCACCTGGTTCTCTGATATCACCTGGTTATCTGATCTCACCTGGTTCTCTGGCCGCACCTGGTTCTCTTATCTCACCTGGTTCTCTGATCTCACCTGGTTCTCTTTTCTCACCTGGCTCTGATCTCACCTGGTTCTCTTACCTCACCTGGTTCTCTGATCTCACCTGGTTTCTGTCGTTCTTGTCGTTCTTCCTCCTCAGCAGTCGTCTTGTTGCTTTGGTCAGGCCGAACTGTTTTTGATTGGATGCGTGGTTCATCTGTCTCACCTGAGTCAGCAGGAAGCTGGGGACCTACCAAACAAAACAGGAAGTGACAGCTGAGACAGTGATGTCACTGAGGCTGTGAATGTGTGTGTCCTCTGACTCACGGTCCACAACAGGTCCTGGTGTGTGATCATCAGTCGGACCAGGTGAGCTCCGCCCACCGCCTCCTCCATCTCCTCCCGTTGCTTGGCGATGGAGAGCTTGTTGCCACGGTGAGTGTAGGTGAACAGGTTTGGCGCCATTACCATGGAGACATTCCACAGAGACATCCTGTTCTGGTCCTGATGAGAGACCACCTTACGTAGGAAGACTAGCAGAGCCTGTAACCATGGAAACAGATCCAGGTTTACCTGATCTCAGACGGTGAGATCTAACCCTAACCTACTAGTTACTAGTGTAACCTGTGTACTGAGAGATGTTGGTTGGTTGCAGTTACTAGTGTAACCTGTGTACTGAGAGATGCTGGTTGGTTGCAGTTACTAGTGTAACCTGTGTACTGAGAGATGCTGGTTGGTTGCAGTTACTAGTGTAACCTGTGTACTGAGAGATGGTTGGTTATAGTTACTAGTGTAACCTGTGTACTGAGAGATGTTGGTTGGTTATAGTTACTAGTGTAACCTGTGTACTGAGAGATGATGGTCGGTTATAGTTACTAGTGTAACCTGTGTACTGAGAGATGATGGTCGGTTGTAGTTACTAGTGTAACCTGTGTACTGAGAGATGTTGGTTGGTTATAGTTACTAGTGTAACCTGTGTACTGAGAGAAGCTGACTTAGGCCCAATCCCAATGTCCCCCCTAAACCCTCAAACCCTGAACCCTCAATGACTCACTGACGTCACCTGGTAAGTGGTTGAGTGTGAGAGACTGTGAGGGCTTGAGATGGTGGAAATAGGAACGGGACAGCACTTTGCTGCAACATATCACGTTACCATGAAAACAACAAAACATATGATGTATAATTGTGTGTATTTATTGTATACTTTGTACTTCCTGATTTGAATGTCTTCAGGCTCTTTCCTCACAAGATGAGAGGTAACTTCATATCATCTATTTACTCGTTTTTGTCAAAACAGCCTCAATGACAAAATCAAATATTTGATGAATAAATAAATAAATATCTTATGATTTCATGTTTATTTTTTGTTCCATCTTTAACCCTTAATGTTTCTGAGTAAATTTAATAAGATTGAACACACGCGAGTTGTCCTCTTTGTTTACCTTTTTTTTACGTCTCCATCCATCCACTGGTTATCCCGTATTTAATATATTGCAATGATTTGTGGGTAATTCCCTTAGGTAAAGTCAGCATCCTACGCTGACTTACGGTAAGGGTTCATAAAGGGCTCAAGATGTCTGCAAGAGACTCAAACACTCGATGATCTGACAGTGGGACATCCCTAAACCCTCACGGACTTCGCGGGAGCGCACCTCAAAGTCCGTGAGTCCGTGAGGGGGGACATTGGGCCAAAGTGACTCCGACAGGAAGGAACTCAGAGAGACGCTGTGATTGGTCAGCTGAGTTTCTCCTGAGTTATTGTTATGGTGGAGAAGATACTTTATAATAGACCCTTTTTTATTAGTTTCTTCATTTTATTGTATAATGTATATATACTGTATAGGTAAAGTCAGCATCCTATGCTGACTTACGGTAAGAGTTCATAAAGGGCTCACAATGTCTGCAAGAGAGCTTCAAACACTCGATGATTTGACAGTGGGACAGCCCAAACCCTCACGGACTTCGCGGGAGCACGCCTCAAAGTCCGTGAGTCCGTAAGGGGGGACATTGGGATTGGGCCTTACTCTGAGTGTTTCTCTGTTCACTTCAGGAAGGAGCAACGACAGAAGCTGCAGAGCCTGAACCTGGTGGACCACCGAGGAGACACCTGCAGAGACACAACGGGACATCATTAATGATTCAGCACTGTGTGTGTGTGTGTGTGTGTGTGTGTGTGTGTGTGTGTGTACCCAGCACAGAGCGGTAGGTGGACAGGTGTGTGTGTGTCAGCAGAGGTGTCGGCAGTTCTCTGATGAAAAGCTTCAGCAGACCTGCAGCCTCCACCTGTCTCACTGCAGACCAGTCGAACTCTCCACAACACCTGTCTAAGTCTCTACGCAGGCACTGAGGACATAGACAGACAGACAGATATCACTCCATCATTCTGTGAAATACGGCAGATCACAGTGTGTGTGTGTGTGTGTGTGTTACCTTCAGGCGAGCAGCTGATCCTGGAACTCTGAGAATCCCTTCAGTCTGCAGACCAGTCTGCTCTAAAGTACACAATAACTACACACACACACACACACAGGTTGGTCTTTCTGCACACAAGTACATAGTGCTTTATCTAGACACAGAGAGACAGACAGATAGAGAGAGAGAGACAGTTTCTTTACCTTCTGGAAGACGACAGGAACTTTAACCCCTGGAAACCTCTTCCTGTCGTTTTCTAATAGCGAATTTAGAGGAACAGCGAAGACACCGCTGTCTGCTGGACAGAGAGACAGACATATTTAGAATACATGTAGTGTATTTGTTAAAAATAATTAAATAAAAAAATAGCTATAACTTTGTGATTCTTTCTAGGCCAGCAGAGAAGGCTATGCAAGCCTTGCAGCCACACCAGCTGGCACAAAGCGAGATAGCAGCCATTCTGACCACCTGGCTAGCCAATATGATCCTTTGGGTTCATCGTGCCTTTCACCGCACATGCCAAAGTACTCATCCAGCAGCTCTGGTCCAAACAGAGAGGCTGGGATGATCCTGACCTGACGAGCATATGGAGCAGTGGCCTACCTCACAGTACATGTAGGAGGCAACATTCACTTTCTTTGTGATGGCCAGGTCAACAGTAGCCCCCAAGAGACAACAGACCATGCCACGTTTGGAACTCTGTGCTGCATTGGCTGGAGCTCAACTGGCCAAGCTCATAGAAACTGAGATGACGCTCACTATCCGACAGACAACCCTTTGGTCTGACTCCACCACAGTACTGGAGTGGCTCCAATCGGACTCCTGTAGATATAAGGTGTTCGTCGGAACCCGTGTATCTACCCAACCAGGGGTAAGACACTCTTGGAGCTGGCAGAGCCCGGTCGTTGGAGTCAAGGGCCTCCATTCTTAAAAGAGAGTGCTGAGCACTGGCCAAGGAAGCCTGAGCATGCTACAGCAGTGAGTTCAGCTGAACTAAAGGGTATCACATTCTGCGGCCTCACAACAGTGGAACCTAAGGACAATCTCCCTGATGCTTCTCAGTTCAGTATATGGAAGGAGTTGGTAGAGGCCACTTGTCAAGCAAGCCAGGTTGCTCAAGGGGCGGCCGAGGGTCCGAAATACCACCAAACTACTAACCCCCAGGATGCGGTCCATCCTGCCAACGCTGGCGAGCTCAGCCCAAGGTCCCACAGATGGCGGACTTGCCACCACAGTGTCTCCAGCTTCTCTGTCCACCTTTCTATTCAACAGATGTCGACTGTTTTGGCTCTTACCTGGTCAAGATAGGCAGGAGGACCGAAAAGAGCTGGGGCACCATCTTTAAGTGTCTCATGACCCGCGGCATCCACATTGAACTCCTCAAATCTCTGGATGTAGACGCCTTCCTCCTTGCCCTTCATCGGTTCATCTCGAGGCGACGCAGACCGAAGGAGATACTATCAGACTGCGGTACCAACTTCCGTGGTGCTGAGCGGGAACTCTGTGAGACTTTTGCAGCTATGGAACCACAGCTGAAGGAACAGCTGATGGAATACCAGATCGACTTCAAGTTCAACACGCCGAGCGCTCCTCACTTCGGAGGAGTATGGGAGAGAGAGGTTCGTTCCATAAAGGCCGGCCTTCAAGTCGCAGTTGGGAGCCAATCAGTCTCTGAAGACGTCCTCTACACAACTTTAGTGGAGGTCGAAGGCATCCTAAACTCAAAACCGTGTCAGCTGATGTCGCTGACCCTGACCCCATCACTCCTAACATCCTCCTCATGGGGTGGCGGGATGCATCGTTGCCTCAAGTGGTCTATGCCCCCGTAGGCATGGGAAGGCAGAGATGGCGCCACTGTCAGACGCTTGTGGACCGGTTTTGGATCCAGTTTACCTGGAACACATTTGCCCACTCTTCAGACACAGCAGAAGTGACAGAAGGCCGCTGATAACATCGCTGTGGACTCAGTCGTTCTGATCGTTGACCCATCGCTTTCCAGGGATCAGTGGCCCATTGGGAAATTTTGTAAGACAGTCCCTAGTCAAGATGGATGTATCAGGACCGCAGAGGTCCTGGTGAACGGTAAGGTCTACACAAGACCAGTTGCTCATCTGATCCAGCTCCCTGAGCTCAGGGATGATGCTAATGATGCATGAAGAATTCCTGTTATTACACATTTGCTGCTTAAATGTGGGGGCGGCTGTTGTGAATTCTTCACGGACAAAGACGATAAAGTTAAGGTGCTTTTATTCTCAAACTGTATTTTGACGTTGCGAAATGTTTCCGCTTCCAGTTGCGCTAATCGTAAATCCTATGTAGGACCAACGGTACAGTCACATCGAGTCATTGATGATGTACTGTATGTCATAGAACTGTAACTTTGAGCCTGTGACGTAACTGTTCCGTTTGTAGTTGTACTTATGTTCTTAAGTGCATTTACTGTCAGTAAGTGTTTGTCATGTAATTAGCCGTTCAAATAATAGCCCAAAGTTGAGCTAAGTGGCTAACCTGGCTAGCGAGCCTGTATTCCTGTGAATGTGTGTGTATTTGCTTTAGTTAAGGGTTTACTATTGCTAATACTTCGGTTCTGTAATTCGTTTTCTGTGTTTATTTCAGAAACTCATTCAACATCTTTCAACATCTGTAAAATCTGTCACCGTCTGTCACCAAACTATAACACTGTATGCCAGACTCAATACAGGAACGTGTTGAACAAACAGATGTCTGCGTGTTCTCTGACCGGAACCCTGTAGTGGTCAATATTCATCTCTACACCAGTGTCTCAGGGGTCGAATCCCCAACAATGATAATAATAATAATAATAACAATCACCCCGAGTCCTGCGGCGCGGCGGGCGGTGGCGTTTGGTTTGGATGCCCAGAGCGAGCAGGAAGGTGGAGAGCTCGATGTGAGAGATGAAGCCGAGGCGGGTGAGGTCACATGAGGACAAGTCGTCAGCTGAGACGAGACCCTGAGAGGGTGAGACGGGTACAAACTACACACACACACACAGGGTACATCCCAAGTCTCTTAATTGCATCCCCAGAAACATCAGATCATGAAAACACAAATCTTTCTAATAAATGTAGGAAGTTGTTTGAGGTCCTTTTGTTGTTCAGACTACAATGAACATTTATTTAAACCAGATGTTGAATCAGAAAACGAATCAAATATAAACTTGAGTTTAATCTGTGATCCGTCTTCACTGTTTACATGTTGAACAAAATCTCATCAGTCCAATCGGCTGCAGCGTCCAATCACATGACTGATGAACAGTGAGGGGGCGTGTCGGCCGTTAAAACACTTCCTGGAAGTCTGTTCTCGTGGGTCCTCGCTCATGGCTCCTCAGAGATCCCTCCTCCATCCTCGCTCCTCAGAGCAGAAATAAGAGCTTTGGGACGGCCGTCAATATGGCGGCGCAGAACAACTTCCGGTTCGAGCGAGGAAACGACAATTAAGAGACTTCGGATGTACCCACTGAGATACATCAACAGGTTAAGTTTCTCTTTTACACCCCAAAGCATTATGGGAACTGTAGTTCCAAAACGTAGAACTTGATTATGCCCCCAGGTAGAAGTAATATAAAGAATGAAACTAGAAGCAGGAGTGTGTGTCAGGAGGTAGAGGTTAGACTCACCGGTAAGTCACCACTCTCGCTTCCATGGAAACGAAGACAGTCCCAACAAGTCCCACCCCTTTTGTGCTCAGCCACGCCTTCTGAGTAGGGAGAGTCCCGCAGCAGCCAATCAGCTTGTCTCGACCAACTGACAGAATGGGAGTGTGTGTGTGTCGGAGAGTGTGTGTGTGTCGGAGAGTGTGTGTG